CATTATAGACTAATTTTAAAACTAGGCAAGGAAACTCAAATAAATCACCACAGCTAGAAAGAGCATACTAAAATTAGCAAAATTACAAAATTTGGTTGCGAAATGTTGTAAAATGTGGAAAATATAGCCTTGCAAAGTTTGCAAATTTTGCATACTTTTGTATTGCGTGCGGAAATTCCTACCACATTTAGGCCGAAAATGTCGCACGCAATACAAAAGTATACAAAAATTTGCAAACTTTGCAAGGCTATATTTTCCACATTTTACAACATTTCGCAACCAAATTTTGTAATTTTACTAATTTTAGTATGCTCTTTCTAGCTGTGGTGATTTATTTGCATCTCCTTGCCTAGTTTTAAAATTAGTCTATAATGAGAATTGTCTATTCATACTGAAAACCTTAGTGTTATTCTTTAAACCGATGTCAAGATACAAAATTTCAGAACACTCCTTGCCAATGTGGCGGTTGTCGAAGGAATTAAATCTCGCTCCAGACATACACGGAGCTCGCTGGATTTAGTTGCACAGAGGTTAATGCGTTTTTCACGCGTGTGCTAGGGCTGTGATCGTCTGTAGTATTTCCTGAAATGATACCGGGACCTCTTTTCATTTGCAGCGAGGCCGACACGGGAAAGAATGATATCATGGATTAGTGAAGAAAGCGGGAATGGTGTTAATAACATTTCAAAAAAGTATTTTAGATTGAAAAGTGCTAGCAGCGAAGAAATTTCTATACTTTCTGTGTATAATTGTGTTTTAGTTTAACAAATAAACATTTTATTACAAATACAATTGTCATGTCATTAATTGCTGGAGAGTTTGACGAGTCTTTCACCTTTTTACAACGAGAAACCTAATCAACAATTTGACTGCGAGTCCGATGGTGCGAGTCCGATGGTGCCAGTCTCGTCACCTGGCGACTTCTGGTTTTTAAGCGTTTATTAGCGAGTGGGAAACACCAACATGGCCGCCATCTATTCAAATGGGGGTATCGCTGGAATATTCTTGGCTTCAATTTTACTATAAAGAGATGCGCTATCTAGTTTATATAAGATATCTATGGTGGACTTGAATCACTTACATTCTTGCACTTCACTTGGTGGAATTAATATTAGGATGTTAGGGTTTGTAATCCAAGTGAGAATATATACATTTTAAGACCTAACCAGGAACGACTGCGAAAAATGCAGCACAAGGTCCTCTGGTAGGAATTGAACCTACGGTCCTGCGATTCCGGTGCAGCGCTCTAACCAACTGAGCTACAGAGGGGTACGGCCCTGCTGGGAATCCAGCCATAACTTGTGTTGTCTGGTTATTTGATAATTTCCATCTACAATATCGCAAGTGAGATAGCAACAAAATCTTGATATTTACCCATAAAGTTGTTAAGACTGTATGGCTCATTTTTACTTATTGCAGAGATCAAGATTTTCGGAACGACGTCTCTGAGTGACTGATCCGTAGCCTACGTTGCAGAATGTAAAATATACTTTTATACCAAGTACCTTTTCTCTCCCATGTCCTCGAGTTGTTGAACAGATCTCGTCCTTAGCGATGACAAGATCTCTTTTTTCCGGTTTTTTTTTCGTCCCGCAACGTTGTCACGGGACACGGCGATTCTATTATCGTCACGGAAACGTTTTCTTTGCGCAGCCACACTTAACGATGGTGTCACTGGAACCTAAAAATATAAAAGTATACATTGTCTCAATTAAGGCAAAAAAATGATAAATTGTACTCATTAGAACGACCTCGAGAAAAAAGATGGCCGTAACTTGCAGAAAAATTAGCAGCAGATAAAGAAAAAGATTTCCGTTTCATTCAGTTGCCCTATTTAGTAATGTACGCCCATTGAAGTTTGAAATCAAGTTTTGTATAGCTTGAGCCAAATAGAAAAATTCCGCTGAAGTTATTATTTTCTTAGAACTCCAAGAAATTTAATTGCTGTTGAGGGTCAGCGGACAGCACACTGATTCTGGGGATCTATTATAGGGGTCGATATTTCCGCAAACCGCGGTATTTTTCCTCCTTCACCGTTAACCGCTAGTATTTTCAATCATAATGATATCGATTGAGCTAAATACAGCTAAGACAGAACTTATGGTCATTTGCGACAGAGACTCAGTGACCCATGAGTCTTATTAATATTTGTGTTGATAATACTCAAATCAAAGGAGTTCAGCACACGAAATCATTAGATGTAACATCAGGGCCTATCAGAGAAATTCGAAATTTGCAAATTTTTTTACTCCGGGGGCCCAATTTTTCAAAAAAAATGTTGGCGAGGGGAGAGGAGGGGGAAAGGGTGAAATTTTTCCCCGGACATACACCAGTTAAATTAAGGTTAAAAAAAATGGGTTAAACCCAACCTCGTTCCTAGGGCTTTTCCCTTTCCCAATGACAAAAAAGGGAAAAGTCCTGGGAACGAGGTTAGGGTTAAACCTTTTTTCCCGACCAATATCTGTTAACGCATTTACGCACGTTTAGAGAGAGTTCAAGCATTCAGGTACTAAATTCAGTATGTCCTGGGGAGAGTGATATAGTCTGACTTAGGCTATGTTGACACTATACCAGAAGCTTTCCTTAGTGGCGCGAAAAAGCACCTATCTGATACGGAATGTACAACTTTCAGAAGCTGAGCGAAACAACATCTCTCCGTTGCAATAATTCGTCTGAAAATAGCGTTCCTAAAAGGTACGGATACGTGTTCTTCACGTCGCTATCGAAAGCACTAAACTTAGTTGCGGTATCAAGTTATTAACAACTTTGTATTTGGTGAATTGTTTTTAAACTATGTTAATTAACAAACTACAAACAAAACCATGTTTTTATCTTTATATATTAAAAAAACAAAATGGATTAAATAATCAAATGATGAAAAAAATACAAAACTGCCAACAAACGCATTCAAGCAAATGATTAAAAGTGAAAACCACCCGTTATTTTCCTCGCTCTCAAACTGTTTTGATAAACGAACAAAGCCAAAGCTGGTCACCCGTGAACGCCACACTTCAACAATACGAAGAAACGAGAATATGGAGTGAAAATTGGTCAAATTTGGAGGATTTTGTAGTTAGTAATGGGATATTCAAGCGTTAAAATACAGAGAAAATCATTTAGCCAAAGAGGAAAAGGTTAAGGTTTAGTAAAAGCTTTGATAAAGTTATTTATTTGTATTCAAAACAATATGGCTGGACAGTGTTTAGTAAAGATTCTGGTGTGTTTGCTGGTAATACAGTGTTCTGAAGGCAGGCCAACAGCATCAGACGATAAGAAAGTGACGATGTCTGGAGAACCGACGCATTTTCAAGTCGACGACAAAGCTGCCGAGCTCGAGATCAACGCGAATGCCATGGGTGTAAAAGTGAATGCCAAACCAGCATCTTTGCAGGTCGTCTCAAAACCTGGTGCGCCTGCAATGGCCGTTCCGCATCCAGCGGTCTATGCCCCACCAGGCCCTTACCATATAGCGCCGTACTACCCAGCGCCATATTACCCTGGGCCGGTTTTGTCAACGCCGCCGATGGTCATCGGGCATCGTCGTACCGTTCGACGCCGACATCATTTCTTCGACATGGA